TGCCAGCTGTTCACAAAGTGTGCTTCGTGGAGGCTTTGAGGACTCTATTAAGCATACTGAGGGACTCTGTGCTTCCCTCCTCCTCCAAGCTTTCCCTCCACTTTCCTGCTCCTCCCCCTCCCCCTGCCTCCCTTACTGCCAAAAGTCTCCCTCCCACCCCCACCCCCTTGCCCCAAAAATCCTTTTTGCCTTGCCTCCCTTGCTGTTCAGATCCTTTTCCCTTTGCTCCCCTTGCTTCCAAAACCCTATCTCCCTTCCACCGCTCAGGGGGTACTTTGTGCTTTTGCTGCATGTCAGAAGGGAGTTGAACAGGATGGCCCCTGGGATTTCTGCAATGATGATGATGATGATGATGATGATGATGATGATGATGATGATTATTATTATTACAAAGTCTGGATAGCCATTTGTTGTTGGTGCTTTGATTGTGCTTTTCCCACATGGCAGAAGGGTTGGACTGGATGGCCCCTGGGGTTGTTTCTACTACTACTATTATTATTACAAAGTCTGGGTGGCCATCTGTTGGGGGTGCTTTGATTGTGCTTTTCCTGCATGGAAGGAGAGGTTGAACTGGATGATCCCTGGGGTTTTTTCTGCTACTACTACTACTGTTGTTGTTGTTACAAAGACTGGGTGGCCATCTGTTGGGGGTGCTTTTGAAGTGGGTGGGACTGGATGGTACCTGGGGTCTTCCAGTAAAATACTGTTATGTTTATGTTGGTTAAAATTGTTCTTCAAAAGTTTGCCCATACCTGACATACATACATTTTATATAATATAATATATAAACATTTCGTAGACCTCCACAAAAAGGGCTCCGTAGCTGAAAAACTCTGAAAACCTCTGCCTTATGCAGTTGTCTTATGTTGTTATAGGTGTTGAAGCAATGGTTAAATGCATAGGAGGAATGTTTTATACAAATCAGTGGCATCTGCAATTCAGATTTTTAAAGGATATTTCAAAAGAACTGTTTTAGACATTTTGAAAAGGGGTATTGTAAAACTAGAATCTATTTTACATTATAATAATGACAATGACTACTTTGGTGTCTCGGGGTCCTAGCTTCAAATGATCACTTATAAAAGGAACTCCCAAACTCTTCTATCTCACTTGCCATAAGATGTTGGCAAAATTGTACTGCTCTTCACTTTAAAACCTTTTATCTCCCCACCATAAAACTGCCAACTCACTAAGGAGTCTTTTTTACCCCGAAATAATAATAATAATAATAATAATAATAATAATTATTATTATTATTAACTTTATTTATACCCCGCTAGCATCTTCCAAAGGACTCGGTGTGGCTTACAAAGGCCAAGGCCCTCAATAAAACAATAGCATATTCATGTGGGATGACACATGAATATGATGTTGTTTTATTGAGGGCCTTGGCCTTTGTAAGTCGCACCGAGTCCTTCGGGAGATGTTAGCGGGGTATAAATAAAGTTAATAATAATAACTTTCAGTTTCAAAGATGGCCAGAAATATGTGTACAGTGTCATAAACACACCCAGGGGCATACAACCTTCTTGTTGCAACAACTCACTAACTACTGATCTGTTTCCGCATACAATTCACAGGGCTGGGTATAATCTACATGGGACCAAACCAGATCATCAGATTGTATTCTCTGATAGAAATTTTTTTGAGATAATCTGGGTAGACCCATTTTTTTCTGTCAACCATCTTCACAGATACATATGGTGGAAATACAGAATGGGGCATTCTTAGTGGCTGTTCCTAGGCTCTGGAAATCTCATCCTCCTTGGTATTTTTCTGCAGGTAGGTAAATACTGTTTTGTTTTGGCAGGCCATTGAAAACTGATTACTTAAGGAAAATGAACTATATAACACAACATGCTGTATTGTTTTGCCCCTCTCTCCCACCACCCAAATGTTTATGTTTTTAATTGGTTTAAAGTTTATTTATAGTTCAATTACATTGATTACTTTTATATGTGGATTTTTTTAGCAGCATTTGTTTAATCTTGGTAAAATGCCATTAGGCCCTAAACTGAAAAAAAGTAGGAAGACAGATAGGTAAATAAATAAATGGCTTGTGAATACCCATAAGTCTCTTTCCTTGTGCTATAATTAATAATATTAGAGGCATCAGGGAGATGAAGAAATAAGACAACTTAAAAAGAAATTATTTTGCTTTCTTACTTACAATTTATTAGATGTTCCTGATTTTACAATGCCCTTAAAAATTCACACAGATTTCATAGAAATAAACATCTTGCACTATTCAGTGGTTACTTTTTCTACATCTGCAAATGAATTAAAAAGTGCCTGTTAAATCCTTCCCTAGTGTTATTGTCTTTCTTTTTGAAGTCATTTACATGTATGTGTCTGTTTGCGCATGTGTGCCTCTACATTCAAAATATGAATGATAAATACTGTATATTACTGACTTTAGTTCCAGGCATCAAGCACAATCTAAAAACACTGAGGGAATTTAAGAGATTTTCTTCAATTAAATTTGCATTCTGCAAATCTCCTACATAAATTGCTTGTGGAAGAAGAGGTCAGGCACCTGTTTATACAGATTTGTGCTCTGAAAACCAATTAAAATTATTACTGCTCAGATCAATCAACAGGCTGAAAGCATTTCATTATTGACATGATACATCTTTTGTAAACATAATTCAACTATAATGTTAGATAGGGTCTTTCTTATTGGGGGAGAGAGTGAGAGATGGTGAGTTCGATCCAAAGTCTCCAAGATGCCAATCAATTTAAAGAGACCAAGTGAATTTGTAGGGTTTCTTAGGCAGGAAAAATTCATATGAATTTTTGAAATATAGCCTATATCACCTGGTACTTATTAGCAGTCTTCCATTCAAGTACTGAAAAAAGGCCTAAGGATGTTATCCTACAGGCGAGAAGGAAGTGGGGGAAAGTGTTTGGAAGAGTGGGGACTCCTTTTAACCTGGTAATGTACGACTTTGGGGATCGCCAGCCATCCCACATCCTTTCAGGAGTCTTCTCTCCATCTTCACAAGCTGGCAGGAAGGATTCCCATGGGCAGTCACTGGAAGTGGCCATGCATCATGGGATGGTTTCCATGGGACTTCATTTTGCCACCAAGCAAAAATGAAGAGAGAAAAAAAAAAGGGGGGGGGGTTACATGGAATAAGGTACTATCTTATAAAATTTTTGTTTGATTACGCTGTGTTTAATTTATTGATGTTAGGCTCTTGCGTTGTTTTGATATGTGGGGTTCTTCTGGGGTTATTATGTTAATATTTGTCTGCATTAAATGTTTGCTGTTGTATGCTGGAATTCACCCTGAGTACTCCTTGGGGAGATAGGGTGGAATATAAATAAAGTTTTTATTATTATTTATTTATTATCTTCCAAGATCAGGCAAGATCTGGTGCACTAAGGGTACTTAAGCCCTGAAACTGCAGTGGGGGCTCCACTGGCACGATTCTGCTGAATTGAATAGTAATACAAATGGATGAGTGACAAGCCATACACTTGCTTGTGTATACTACACCAAACAGGTCTTCAAAGGAAAAAACGTTCCTTGTATCCTTCACTTACACTAAGCCTAGAAATTCATTTTTGCTGGTTCAGTGGATCTTAATGTCTTCTAATGATACCACTGTGTTCAGTTTCATATATCTTCTACTGTCTGTTAAAATAATCCCAAGGAGCTCTGGTCAGAATCAAATGTAGATGCTAGCTAGGAATGATTAGTCTGAATGGAGAAAGGTCAAGGTTCAATTGACGGCTGAATATGTTGGATACAAAAAAGTGTGTTGAAGCAGCTCCCTCTATGTATTTGTGGCGAATGCCTATTTTTCTATTTCAGACCAAAAAAAAATCTTTCCATAATGTACAATATTTCGATTTTAAAATTTCACTGTTTATTCTCTATTTCAATAGTGGCCTACCAATTATTATACCATACACCTTAAACATACATTCTATCCAATTTATACTGGTAATTGAACACAGCAAGTTTTAATATATTTTAGCCACAGCTGCTATTATTCATCTTCCATTCACTAATAACCAGCGTTGTTGAAGTTTGTCTTCTACAAGCTGAAAGGATTCTCATTACTCAAAATGATATGGAAGCAACACTCAAGACATGACAAAGTAAATTGCATTTCATCGTATCTTTTCCCCCATTCCTGCGGCTGAGGGAACTCATAGATCAATATGCTTCAGCAAGAGAATCTACACTGAAATTTTCATTTGTTCCAAACAGCAACAAAAAGACCTTAAGCATGCCCTGTCACTTTCGGTTTAGGAAGAAATGTACTAATAAACTCTTACCCTTGGGTCATCTTTGACAATGGGCAATACTCTGCCAGCTCTTGTTAAAGAGAATTCACATCAGTGGCCCAAAAATTTCCTTTAAAATTACCATCTTTTGTATCCATGTAGCAGGATGTCAGCTTTAAAGTGCCATTGAGATACAGGACCTGTCACTATAGTTAATTTTCAGCACAGTTTTAACACCAGGGTAGCTCATCCCCCAGGGCATGTTTTTTGACTAACGAGGTTTACTGGGGAGCTATCCAAACAAACAGGAAAACACTGCTACCCCATATTGCTTTCCAAATACAGCATTAAGCAAGGAACTCTATGTACTCAGTCTTTAAAATGATACCACTCCGGACAGGAAACCAGAGTAGTTGAAAATATAGTCCTGAGGTGGAAAAGCCATGAAAATATTTTTCCCAATGCTTGCACTCTTCAGTATGAAAGACTATTTATATGCTGAACTTTAAAACTCATACAAGAATGAATCTCCCATATTTCTGCATGCCTCAAGATAGATCAGCAATTCCCAAATCTTGATCCTCCAGTTGTTTTGAACTTTAGCTCCCAGAAGCCCTAGCTGACTTGGCCAACAATAAGGAATTCTTAGAACTGAAATATAAAAAATCTGGAGGACCAAAGATTTGGAACCAATGTGATAGAATATAATGTCATAACTAGCGTCAGAAACTATCTTCCAGCAATCAGTAAAAGACACTTACCTCGAACAATGAGTTGAGCAAAGTTGGAAACTCCAGAACCTCTCTCAGACTGAGTAACACAGCGGTATAAATCCTGGTCTGTTTTTGTTACTTCTTGAAGCTTAAATGTAGCAGCAAATCGTCTGTGATTTATATTTTTAGTTTGGGCCACTGGAATGTCTTCTCCATTCCGTCTCTGGAGAGAAGGAAAACCAAGATATAAAGGTAAGATGATTAAATGCTGCCTTTGCAACCTGGATTGTTACTACAAATATTCTGGCAAGATATATCACAAATTTCACAAACATGTATCACACCCTATAATATATTGTACACAGACTTCATTAATTCACATTATGTCAATGTGCTTATCAGTTTTCTAAAATGTGCCTTCTTGGAAGGAGGTTTGTGAGTTCGGATTACTACACCAATACCTTTTTTCTTAGCCTCTTTCATAGCATGAATGCAATGAATGATTTTATGTTATTCCATTTAGCAAATGGGCTACATATCCTTTGAGGGCACGTCTACATTGATCACTTACTGTGAAGGAGCCCTAAATCAGCTCCATGGTGGGAAAATGCTGCATGGAGTTGATCCAGGGTAATGTGGATAAGACCACCTAAATGCGACCATGACCCATGTTAATCAAAGAATTCTGAGCAACCCATGACTTTGGGCCCATTTAAACATTTGGGTCAGTTCCAAGATGGAACTGGCTACCACTGTTTATACTAACACGCTTCATTTCTTGGGCTCAGGCAGGCTGGGGACATGGTATGGCACTTACCAGCTCCTCCTGTTCTTTGTGTTGTGGTGGTTTCTGGACACAGCATGGGTCCTGTTTGTTGGCCATCACATGCAGTGATGTTGTAAGGGGGCAATTGGGGATGGGAGGGCAAGGATGGGGTGATTCCTCCTCTCTTCCCTACCTCATCACCTGATAACCACTGCCAGTATCCCTGCAAGTGATGACCAACTGGCAGGATACATGTTGCATCAAGAGACCACTGCAACATGAATAACAAGAGGAGATGGTAAGAGTGGCCTTTCAGCAGTACTGATCTGGTTTGGCGCTTCTTGATTATCAGGACTCTCTCCCACCTCCACAGTGGCTGGGGTGGTGGTTGTGTAAACCATGTCAGGGCCAATCTGATGTACACCATTCCAGATCAGTCCCAGGATCAATGTAGATCAATATAGTTCTGCCTTAACTCTCCAAAGAGGGGAAGTAAATCAAGATGATTTATCTGCTTTTCTGGAGACATCACAAAAGGGAATGTCACCTGTGTAAGAGGAGATACCAAGGAAAATGAGACACTACAGAAGAGCAAAACATCTCTTCATAGCCCAAAAGATGCAGTATAGTTATGACTACAAAAGGACTTCTTGTTAAAGACTAAGCAACTCTCTGAGATACTCATATGCTCAGAAATGACTTATAAACCATATAAGAATATTGGTTATTAAAATTGAAGGATTTAGTGGAAATGGTTCAATATATCAATTAATGAAAAAATCATTAACAATATTTTTGAAATACTGAAAACTACTGTGAGAACCCCGTAACCCACCCTGCTAAACACAGATGGTCTTGATAAGCCAGAAGCTTGTCAGACCCTCCCTGCCCCATTGGCATCACCAATAGCCTTGTATATGGTGGGTTTGAAAGGAAGAGTTCCTACTGATAAGAACTAGACAAAGGGAGGGTCCCTGCAGGGCAGAGGGTATGGATTATGACATGAAACTGCCTGATTGTTTTTTAACCAATTGAGTCTGACAATGATTGTGTGATGCCCCCAACAGGGTGGCATAGTCCTTTGAAACAATGAAAGCAAAAGCACGATCACTGCTCGAAGACCCTCCATATTGGAGGCACAACTGGGAGCTCCAGTTTTCTGTATTTTTCTGCCTCATTTTAAATTTTCAGAAAAAAATCCTGGTTACTTTGTTAGAGATTGGGGTGATACTCCTGACTTTTTTGGGGGAAAGAATGGCAATTTAATGATATTAATAGCTGTTTTATTGTTGCTATGGCCTTCATATTATAGCAACCCTAAGGTGAACCACAGGGTTTTTCTGAGGCTGAGACTATGTGATTTACTCAATGTCACTCAGTAGATTTCCATGACTAAGGAGGGAACTGAAACCTGGTATTCAGAAGCCCATTCCAATGCTCAAGCCACTAAATACAAAAATGAAGTTCAAGTTCACTTTATTGTTGTCAATGACCAGCTGGAGAGAAGAAGGACACAGTCTGTACAAGCACATCAGATTTAAGGGTTGAGAGATTTAACACTTTAAAATGTTAAAATAGGTGTAACGTTATTATAAAAAATGAAGGTGAAGTGTAACATATAGATAAAATAGAATATTACAAGATAACATCTACAATAGTGAATACAAGAAACTGGGGCATCCAGTGACAATGACTAAGGGTAGACTCCAGGCTGAAAATAAGTTATGTTTTCACATAGCAGCATAATCAAAAGATGGCATCTGCAACTACAAAATGTAGTGATAGCCTCTAACCTGATCTATTAAGACTATTCTTGTGTCATATTTGAATATAGTTTGTCAGAGAATCCATAATTTTCTGTTGAATCGGTCAACCAAAAATGAATAAACCTCACCCAGACTAGAAAAGATAGATGTCAATAATTCAGTATTATATTATTAGCAAATTGTCTGAGAAAATAAAGCTGTTGTCAAGTCCTTGCCAAATGCATTATGAAGATATTAATTTCAATTAAAAAGGTCAACTCCCCCCACCACACACATAAAGAAATCCTTCACAGCTCTTGATAGGAGTCGAAAGCTCCTTCACCTAATAAAAAGTGTGAAAACTGTCTTGCTGACACATTTTAGAAGCATATCATGAATACTTCCCTTCACAATGATCAACAGAATTGTTATTGGTAATAGGTTAGAATTCTGGAACAAATTTTCTGAAAATCAATTTAATTTCCTTTATCCCAGGCTCTCAACAGAAAGCAGCATCAAGTTAGCTATGGGATTTAAGCATTATTTCTAAAATTCTGGGTAGCATTAAGTGCAACATCTAAAAATAAAATTTGAAGAGTAGTACACAGCCGAAAATCTGCAAAATATAATCTCCCTTTAAGCCCTTTGAGCACGTTATCATAGATGCTGCTGTTATCTGCCACTTTGGGTCAGATCAATCAATCAATCAATCAATCAAGCTGTATTCAAGAGTTTTTGGAAGCATCTCAGTAAACTGCAGGGTTTACCCATAACTTTTTTCTTATAGTGTAAGACCCATCCTTTTCCCTGAATGCTCAATGAACAATAGTTTTATACGTTTCAGTTTTATGTACAATCTATTTTATTTTATTTATGCTATGACTAAAAAAATCAGTCAGCATCTATTTAGGCTGACAGGTGAGGCCTTTGCTTGAGAAGAGGTGATTCCTAATACACATGCACAAGGTTTGCACCCATCCACAAAGGTATAATCTTTCTCTCCCTCCATACCCTGCTCCTCCTTGCCCTTTGAAAAAGCCCCCCAAAACAAATACTAGACATGCATAAGGGCTGCATGAAGAGATTGTTGATCCCTGACTTGGTGACAGATTTCTTTCAAAGCTGGATTCTGGGGTTTCGATACACATAAAGTAGAGGGCTATATTAAAAAAAATTTATTAAATAAGTATATAGAGTAAATGCAAACCACTGGTTTTGACTTTAGAATCTGTAAAGGCTAGCAGAGAAGTTCACCTGAAAGACTACTTCCTTCCATATATACTGTATGTATCTCTGACCCGGGAGTATTCCCCTGGTGTTCTCCCTTGGGTGCACATACAAGATGTAGTTAGCAAGGACTTGGGAGAGTGCCATTTGAATAGTAGGATCCTTGAAAGGTAGCAGCTGAGAGTCACCTGTTACCTCTTATTTTATTTGTGTCGAAGAGAGATGACAGGATATAAACAACTGCTAGTCCCCACTAGAACAGATCTACAGGATCACCAACACCTACCACAGTCATAAACCAAACTGTTCAATGACAGAAAATGGATTTCTGAGACATTCATTATACATGGTCAATGATGTGTCCTACAGCCTTGTAATTGGGGAAGAATCTGACAATGACATTCCCCAAGATGTCATGCAATACCCCAACATTGAAAGCAGTTAAGCATTTAGGAAAAAACAGAGCAAAAAAAAAACCCAATGAGACTAGAGAGAGAGAGAGAGGTTTATGTGATTCCTAGCTCTTGACTACTGAAGGACCTTGTTAAACCCAACGAGACTATATAGAGAGAGAAGTTTATGTGACTCCTAGCTCTCGACTATGGAAGGACCTTGTTAACTGAGGCAGAATTAAATTCAAGTGAGGAGCAACTTCTCATTTGCTGCAGTTACAAGGTAAAACAACAAGGAACTCCACACTAAAGAGCCAGAGGAAATGATCCTATTTGTCTGAGAAGGAAAAGCTCGCTTCAAACCTAAATGACAGAGATGGCTTCAAAAGATTAAATGTAGAGTGACAAGTGGGATTTCATATACAAACACAGAGAGTCTTCACTGAACTTGCCAGGAAAAACTCTGAAGCAAAATAGTATAAAGAATAAAACAGAAGCCTTGCTGTCTGATGCTAATGAATAGTGAGCCTTCCAAAACTTTTATTTTCATATGACACAGACTATCAAGAATCCCTATCAGCATTGGTTGTGTTGATAGGGATACCGGAAGCTTTAGTCCAAAAATAATATTTTGAGTTTCTTATATACAGATACATAGACCAACATATTTTTATTTGGAAATGACAACCTGCATCACTAAAAAGATGTCCTTTAACTTGGATATTTGCAAGTTTATAAAAACAGTTGTATATATTATTTAAGTATATTATCTTTCAGTCCCCAACTATTCAAATATATGAAAATACCCTTAAGTATATTATTATGCAATATTATTATATATTATTGTATATTATTATGTCTGCATCCTGTTCAGAGTTAAGGAAAATGTCTAGAACTCAGCAGTAAATAGAAGCTTGTAATACTGGAATCACCAGAATCACAGTTTAATCACCAGTGATTACATTTATGAAGTGCCTGTGTCTATTGTAATTCTTATATTGTTATGTATTCATATGTTTTATGTAATTATGATGTTGTTTATTGTTTGTGTTTTCGGTTGTGTTTTGGTTTTCTTTATTGTAATTGTTGTTCA